TAGTGTAACAGCAGAAACACCTTATTGCTCTGGCAACTCTCCTCCTTTCCCCCACCAAGATAGAAGCCCTGCAGACAGCTCAGGCTGGAACCTCGTGCAGGTCATCCCATCCTGCAAACCACAGAATCCCAGCAGGCTCTGCCCTGGGCTCCTCCACACGCACTCCTCTCAGCTTCTCCCACACTTACCACCTCCAGACTTTCCTGAAACCTGCCGGCACGCAGGCCTGCACTGCTCCCTTTCCCTTCCCTGCCTCCAGAGCAAGTGCAGTGTCCTAGCTAGTACTCTCCTGCCTCCTGTTATCCCTGCACCCTAACTCGCCCGCCTCCCTATGAGGCCCTGTGGCTACAGATCCTCTCTGCACCCCCCCCTCCCCCGAGCTGATCACATCCAGGCTGTAAGACACGAAACATTCTCACTCCACCACTGGGTCCCCCACACTAAGCCCCCGTTGGGCTGAGGCTGATCGCCCCACACCTGGACGGGGGTCAGAGGTGAGCAGGCAGGGGAGACTGTCCCTCTTGCTGACGGCCATTGCATTGGGTCAGGGTCAGGTGCAGCCTCACCGCCAAATCCGTGTTTGGGGGCGGAGGGGAGGGTTGCAGCATGAGCTCCCACTTCTGTTCAGACCGGTTGTGGTGACAGCACATGCCCATGTAGATAAGGCCTGAGTCCTAGCTTCAGTGAACTCTCTTTTGTGGAGCCTCAAAGACTCCGGCTGGTCAGACATCTGCTGCTCTGACGTCTCTCCTAGGCCACTCCCCAGAGTATCTCAGAAGTGTGATTGTAGCATATGAGTCACTGGTCACTTGGCCATCTTCCTTTTCCCCACCCGGGGAGGAGGTGTGTGTGTATGGGAGCTGGGGCCGAGACCAATCCTCCCTTAAAGGGCCAGACACATGCTGTCAAAGAGCAGTATCAGTCTCAAAGCAACAGGGATGGGCAATAAAATGGCAGCAGTTTGCCAGGGTCAGTCCATGGCGGGCCACTGCTGCTATATTTTCACCAATTGTCTAGGAATGGCAATCCATGCCCAACCGATATCTGCGGAGGCACAGGTAAATATAGTGGCAGTGGCCTGCCACGGGCTAACCCTGGTGGAGTGTATTTGGCCTGCAGGCCTGTGTTTGCCATCCCTGCACAGCAAGCTGGTGTTGTGAGAGAGCAGGATTGTGGGTCCAGAAAGGAAGATTGGGAGCAAATAATTTTTTTACATTTATTGTTCTCACCTAGCAGAGCTCTCCAGTGGCTTTCCTATGCCATCACTGCAGCTGTCTTCTGCTTTTTTTCTCCTCTTTCCCTGCCTCCCTCTCACATCTTTCTTGCCCTCCTCCATCTGCTTTTACAAACTCTACTTTCTCTGTCTCTGCCACAATGCCTGTGAAACCCAGACAACTGCCAGTGGGTAGGGGGGGGAGAAAGCTCTTCTTT